GCCGGGCTGGGGATTCAAACCCGCTACCTTAGGTGTATGTGGCTGGCGCCTTAGCCACTTGAGCCACAGGCGCCGAGCCCCTCAGTTTCTTAAGTATGCCTGCACAAAGTCTTTTCACTGCTCTCTCTCAAACGGCTTTTGTGGCCAGAGGCATATAGGTGGTTCGCCTATACTAACTCCTTTCTATTGTTTCTTTTGTCTTGTTTTGTTTTGGTTTGTTTTTAAGGCTGAAACAAAGTTGAGGAAGAGTAAGATGAGCTTACAGAGTAAAAAGCTTACAAAGCAGGATACATTTGCCATAGATAGTGAACAGGCCCCATTGCCAGGGCAGGTAGGCAAAGAGGCCCTTCCTTCTGTTTAGAGCCACACCCTGGACTACTCCTCCATTGAAGATAAGAACAAAAACAAAATGTGTTTTTCCTACTGTATTCTCACAACACAGAATCCTTTCGTGACCTCTTATAACTAGACATGTGCCGATTTCTCCCCACTAACAGCCAAGCAAGTAGTCCTGCAGCAGACACCTGTGTGTCGTCCAGTTCCGCTCTGTCCTGACACTGTCTACCTGGAGCTCGTGTCTGATCTCACAGGTTGGGACTCAGTCCCACACTTCCCCTTGCTAACTGCAGCCCCCTGGATGTGACCTGTGCTTCTTACCAACCAGCTATAAATTAGGGTATCCCATGATCCCCCCCTCCTTACAGTCAATTAACTTGCTAGATTGGCTCACAGAACTCAGGGAAACATGTTCACTGTTGTTCTAAAGGGCATTAAAGAGACTACAGAGGCTCCAGGTGAAGAGATACGTAGGGTGAGGTATATGGGAAGGGACACAGAGCTTCCGTGCCCTCTCTGGGAGTGCCAACCCCAGGAACCTTCAAGTGTCCTGCTAAAAGCCTTTGGGGTTTTGTGGACATTATTTTCATTATGTGGGCGTGACAGATTAAATCACTGGCCATTGGTGATCAGCTTAGTACCTCTTCCCATCCTAGAGGTGGGGCAGCAGGCTAAAAGTCCAGCCCTGTCATCCTGCCTTGGTCTGTCTAGTGACCAGCCAGTGCTGCAGCTACCTAAGGACCCCTAGCTACCAGTCATCTCAGTAGCATACAAAAAGATGCTTGTCATCTTGGAGAATCCAAGGTTTTTAGGAATTGTATGCTCTTAGCAGACTCCTCTGAACCCTCAGTCCCTTTCTTGACCTTTCCTCTTGCCCTTCACACCCTGCCTTGGGTTATAACCTGGTGACCCCTCCCCCAGGTGCACCTTCCTGCCACCCAGCAAGTGCCAAGTTCAGGAACTTGGTGTGATAGTTGAGGTTAAGATTGTTAAATTCTCAGATATGAGAGATTTCAGCTGCTCTCAGCTAATGGTCCTGTCGATACTGCCTGAGAAACCTGAGGATTCTGTCTTTTTATCCAGCCACTGCCCAGTTCTTTACTGATCACACTCTGATGGGGGCTAACTCATCCCCTCATCTCATTAAATCCATTTAACTTACTTAACTTTATTTCTTGTTTTATTATTTAAAATGCATTTCTAGCAAGAACCTATGGTTCTAGAGAAACCAGAAAGCCAGTGTCTTAAATACAGTGTTTAAGTGTCTTAAATACAGTACTTTATTATCAGAGTACTGTTATGACCTCAGATTTCTGTATATTTTATCTACATTGGCCAGCACAGTAGCTATTAGCCACATGTGGCTATCAAGTATTTGAAATGTGGCTGTTCTGAAATGAATGTGTTGAAAGTATAAAATGTACATGAGATTTCAGAAACTTGGCACACACAGAAAACACATAATCTCATCAATAATTGTTAGATCGCGAGGCTGGCGGCTAATGCCTATAATCCTAGCACTTGGGAGGCTGAGGTGGGTGGATCACCTGGGCTCACAGGTGCAAGCCAGAGTGAGACCTCGTCTCTAAAAAAAAAAAAATAGCCAGGTGTTGTGGAGGGCACCTATAAGTCCAGCTATTTGGGGAGCTGAGGCAAGAGAATCACTTGATCCTAAGCGTTTGAGGTTGCTGTGAGCTATGATGCGATGGCACTCTACTGAGGGCAACAAAGCAAGCCTCTGTCTCAAAAATAATAATAGTCTCGGCACCTGTGGCTCAAGTGGCTAAGACGCCAGCCACATACACCTAAGGTGGTGGGTTCGAATCCAGCCCGGCCCGCCAAACAACAATGACGGCTGCAACCAAAAAATAGCCACGCATTGTGGTAGGCACCTGTGGTCCCAGCTACTTGGGAGGCAGAGGCAGGAGACTCACTTGAGCCCAGGAGTTGGAGGTTGCTGTGAGCTGTGATGCCATATCACTCTACCCAGGGGGACAGCTTGAGGCTCTGTCTCCAAAAAAAAAAAAAAAATATATATATATATATAACAATAATAATTGTTATATCAATTACATGTTATAATATTTTGGATATTCTGGGTTCAGTAAGACATTAAAATTAATTTCATCTCTTTCTTTTCACTTTAGTGTGACTCCTGGAAAGCTTAATGTTATTATAAATATGTGGCTTACGATTGTGGTCTGTGTTATATTTCTATAGGATGGTGCTATTTTAGACACTTAAAATCCTTTTCCTTAACTAACTTCCTCCTTCTGATTGCTCTCAGGAAGTCACTCAAAAAATCCTGGAAGCTGTGGGGAACATCGCTGGCTCTTCCTTGGAACAAACCAGCTGGCTAAGCAGAAACCTGGAGGTGAAGGCCCAGCCTCAAGCCTCACTAGAAGAATCTGATGCTGAGGAAGATTTATATGGTGCGTGTAGGAAACTCAAAAAATAGTGCCCACAGTCAGCTAGTGGTTCTGCATATTCCTTAAGAAAGCGCTTAGGTGTATTCATTACAAAAAAGGGAAGAAAGCGTGTGACGTGCTACATAAGTCATTAACTTGATTGTAAGGTTATTTCACAATGTATACGTATGAGGGCTGTCTGGAAAGTATCCAGCCATGTAATATGAAAAATAGTATTAATGATGGCCACTTTCCAGACAGCCCTCATGTATCAAGACATCAAATTGTAGCCTCAAATACACAAGTATATTTTTTTTAGGATTTAAAAGTTTTAAGTTTATATTAGAGGGAAGAGAGTGGAGGAAGGAAATGAGAAAGAGAAGAAGGGGAAGTGAGAGAAGCAAAGATGGGGGGGAGAGAGGAAGGACTGCCAGCAAGTACACCATTTTTAGTTGTCAGTTATCCCTCAGGAAAGCTTGCAGGCAGGGTGTGGAAAATTTAAAAAAGTTTAATCATAGGAAAAAACAAACTCCCTCCTTAGGTCTGCCGGATTCACCAAGCTCCTTCCCCATATTCATAACTAAATGACTACTACATTATCTGTTTTTACTTCTTACAACGCAAGTTGTATATATAATAAACGGTGGGATTCCAAGATCACATCCCACGTGACCTGTGCCACCTGGTTAAACCTTTCACTGAGCCTAGAGAGCATTCCAAAAGTAACTTCCCCAGATAATTTACACGGGCTTGGTGATAGTAATCTTTGTGGGATAAAGGCGATAACAATGTTTTTCTTCTTGCACAACAGCTTTATGTTGTTTATCTCGTTTCTGAATAACATACCTTTGCCATTCAGTGATCGCAGCCCATCGCCCAGCCTTATGTCACAGCTTCCTAGGATGCTGATCAGGAGACTCAGAGTCTGATCAGTGTACCCGTACCAGGGATCAGCTCAAGACTGTAGAGGAGTCTGAATTAAATGAATGGACAGTGTAGATGTCAGTTGCCAGTGCTCTGAATCTGTCAGTCAGGCTGATCTTAGGTTTTTATAACCACTGCAGTGAGGGAGAAATTGATAGCATCACAGAGTCAGGGAGCATACTTAGAGAGCTTTAGGGCTTTGGCTGAGTGGTTTTGTAGCCTATCTCTCTAGGTAGGGAGCCGATTGGGACTGTACAGTTATCAACATATACTTTAGCTTGGTGGGAGGGCATGAGATGAGAGGTGTCCAACCTTTTTTCTTCTCTGTTGGACATTGAAAGACAAACAGTCATCTTGGGTCACACGCTAAATACACAAACATTAATAAAAGCTGATGAGCAGAAAAAGATCTCTGCATAACGTTATAGTAACTCCTACCACAGATAAAATAGTCCCCACAGAATCCGAATGCAACCTGTGGGCTGCCGCTTGGGTACCCCTGTTAGAGTGACTCTTGGTGAACAAGCTGCTGGTTTTGATAAGTGAGCTTTTTTTTTTT